GTAGAATTTTAGATAATTCCTTTGATTTTTAATTGATTTAAAATCACAAATTATTACTTAAAACAAATTTACAACTTAAATTATTTAATAAAACAAAATTCCCAATATTGATTAATTTCAATTTGGTCAACTAGATTTATACAAAATTTTCTCATCACAGGTCGGATAGGAAGACTTGTATCCGCCCGGCTACGCACCGCCCTCCCCTAACCTAGGGTTAGGGTTTTACCCTAATTAGGGTTTCCCCCAATTAGGGTTTTAGGGTTTTGCGCGCTATCGTACGCCACCACGTCCAACTTCTCGAGGCAAAAAAATTTCCGTCGGTTTGTAGTCAGTTAAACGTCGGGTTCCAACGGATCACTTTTGCCGACTTCTGTTTCACTTTTATTTTTATAAAAATACAAAGAAAATCACTAATTCCTCTTAATTTTCCCCTCTTGTCCTGTCCGTTGCCGGTCACCACTCCTCCAAACGGAGTCCGTTTTCCCCGAATAAGGTCTCCAAATGTCGGGAAAAATACAAAAAATGCGCGGTTCTCCTAATTTCGCTTCTTTTCTTCGTAATTAAAATAAAAGGAATTCATGATTTTCGGATGTTCAATTAGAAAAATACAAAAAATTCCATCTCTTTTTCTAGCCGTTAGAATTTCTTAAAAAATGTCTCAAAACGTTTGCCTCGACGAGAGGTCGAACTGTGCTCCCGAGGGGCCTCGCGCAAAAACGCGCGGATCTGGAGATATAAAAAAAAAACAAATTAAATATTTAGACTCATAATTTTAGGAATTTTTAATTAGAAAATACAAAAAATTCCATATCTCTTTTTCTAGCAGTTAGAATTTCTCAAAAAATGTCTCAAAACGTTTGCCTCGACGAGAGGTCGAACTTTGCTCCTTGTGCGCCTCGCGCAAAAACGCGCAGATCGGGAGATATCGAAAAAAAAAGGAATTAAATATTTAGACTCATGATTTTAGGGGTTTTAATTAGAAAATACAAAAAATTTCATATCTTTTTTTCTAGCTATTAGAATTTCTCAAAAAACATCTCAAAATGTTCGCCTCGACGAGAGGTCGAACTTTGCCCCCGGTGTGCCTCGCGCAAAAACGCGCGGATCGAGAGATATCGAAAAAAAAACTAATTCAAAAAATATCAAAAATGAAACTAATCAAGGAAATAAGCTAATTAGTGCTTGTACTCATCTGCCCGTGCACCCCCCGTTGATCGGGGAAGGCCGCGGCCTTGGGGGTGCAATCCCCTCCCCGGCAACGGCGCCAAAGTTGTGAGGAAACCCGGGGAGGGGCTCCTACCGCTCGCTGAAGCCAGGGGCAACGCCGCCTGTCACTCGGCACGCCCACTTCCGAGGTCCTCAACGGCAGATAGGGTGTTGGGGGTTATTATCTCCTGTTTCCCCTGCCCACAGAAGCGCTTTAATCTAGCGTTATCAGATCATAATTCTCTCGAGTAATTTTGTTCAATGAGCGGTTCCCCCTTTTCTGGAGTCAGAGCCGGATGTAGATTGAGTCTGATCATGAGGGTTATCTGTTTTGACTCTAACAAGTTCGGTTTTAAAAGGGAGAGTGGTCCAATCAGGCGAGTCGATTTCCAGAGAATAAACAGTCCCTTCAGCATGCTTAATTACCAGTAAGCTAGAGAGTCAAATCAGCAGGCTCGATCAGATGTCCAGCGGAGCAATCAACAGGTCCGATTTTATAAGAGCAAACGGACCACTCAATAGGCTTGACTTGCAGGAAGCCAGCRAGCCAAATCAACAGGCTCCATTACATGCCCAGCGGACCAATCTACATGCCCGGTTTTTGGAGAGCCAACAAAACCAATCAATATGCTCAATTTGTAGAGATTCAACGAGCAAAATCACCACGCTCGATCATACGGTCAGCACACCAATCAACAGGTCTGATTTTTAGAGAGCCAACGGACCGCTTAATAGGCTGAATTTGTAGTGAGTCAGCGAGTCAAATCAACAGGCTTCTTTGCATGGCCAGCAGATCATTCAACAGGTCTGATTTTTGGAGAGCCAACGGAACACTTAATAGGCTGAATTTGTACTGAGCCAGTGAGCCAAATCAACAGGCTCCATTAGACGGCCAGCAGGGCAATCAACAAGTATGCTCTTTAGAGAGCCAGCGGACCACTTAATAGGCTTAATTTGTAGAGAGTCGGCGGAAATGAAGATCTCCTGCCAGCACCAGGGGTTGATCTTTCACTCTTTTTTTTTCTCTCTCTCTCTCTCTCCCTCAGTCTGCTGTCTCTCCCTCTCACTCAGTCCGCTCTCTCTCTCTCTCTCACTCGGTCCGCTCTCTCTCTCTCTCTCACTCAGTACGTAGTCTCTCTCCCCCTCTGTCTTTCTCTCTCTCT